TGTTGCTGCCGGGAACTGTTACTCCACCGGTCGCGGTCGGTTCGTCCTTTGGATTTCTCTGGTGTTTACATGTGTCTCTCTCGAAGGAATGTGGAAAGTGTAGCGAGCCTACGACCGTCGATACAGTTTTGCATAGTTCGAAAGTGAGTTCTGACAGCCGACTTACAATGTTGCTTCGATCCCTGCATCGCTTTCCCTTTTGACGTTCTACGAAGATCGTAGTCGTGTTTACTCGTAGTCCTATGCGAACGAAAACTGACACGTATGTGTTTTGCAAAATTTCGTAGTGTCTTTATCGTATCGTTGTTGACGTAACCAAGAGTTCCGATTTTGCGACAAACAAAGGCAAACGTATCGTAAATAAATTAAATATACATCTTCTTTGTTTCTCGTTGCTCGCATTAGAATACGTGAAATAAAAATATTTTCCTTATTCGCGAATAGCCGATACGCGGGAATCCGGTTATTGTCTTATCGTAGCTAAATATAGAACGTTTGTTTAAATGTAATAAATATTGTTTTACAAGTTTCGTTGGTTATTTTGGTTTGAAAAATAAAAATACCATTCCGTTCTCTTCTAATATTATACGATTCCAAACGAATCATTTCTTTCTCACAGTGTTTTGGTATTTTATGATTAAGTTACCACATGTTGTAGGACGGTAGCAGTGGAAATTTGCAATTTAAAAATCAAGACAGCGCGAGTAATAGAAATTTTTAACTTGAAACGCCTAAAACATGTGTAATTCCCATCGAAGCTAGCCTGGTTCAAATTATAAATACGTTTATTAACGTGTAACGAGGACAGCGCGTGCACTGAATACCTACGGGCGCGAAAAAGAGCCGATAAAACATCGATTTTAACACGGTCGATAAAACAGGCCGGTCAAAATTTAATGGCCTGTTAATTACCGTGTCGCGAATTAATTTTCACCTTTACGGGCCGAAATTATGTCGCGATCGAAAAATTGCACGCACGCGTTTCTTTTTTTCTGTGCGCGAATAAAAAGTTCCAAACGGTACGAACTGCAACGTATAATCGACGGTGATAATTTTGATCCGCGAGATAAACATTGACCGTTAACACTTTACCGACCGGTAATGTGCTGGACGTATAAATAAATAAAAAATTATTCTTCATTTTCGTAGAATTGGTAATGTACGAGGTTGATTTTTTTTTTTTTTTATTCGAATCGTTTTCATGCGATAAGGATAAGTTGGTTTTTGTTGTACATAATATAAGCGTTTATCTTTCGGTCGATACTCGAGATAGTCTTTTACTCGGGTAAGAATGTTGTTCATCTTGGACGTTATACGATAAAAGAGCGTTGTCGATCGGTTCACTGGCCGCATTTATTTGTAAGCGTGTAAAAGTGCTCGCTCGCCGATTTCTTTTTACCTGCGCATTCCTTTCAAGGCCCCTGCAGGGAACGGACGGACGCCAACGGTCTGACCCGTCCATCCCCCTATGCACCGACCGCTTTCTACTTCGAACGGTTCGATATGGTGACTAGCCAATGCTTTTTTCCTTATTTCGCGCCGAGAACAGATATCGATAGGGGATAATAGGCAGCTGAGGTGATCATCCGAACGGCGGGAACATTTTTGTCGATGTATTTTTGATTGGTCGGAAAACATTTAGAAGGACGGGAACGCGTAATAATTCCGAAGCGAATAGAGTTCGAATGCGACCAGTGATCCTTAAAGAGTCAAGTATATGTATGTATTTGTCTTTTTAAATGACGCGTTCAAATTGATCTAATTCCGGCCGAGGTCAAAGCTTCGTTTAATTGCCAAACACTATATGTATACTGTGGTATTCTACGCTATACTATGATGTAAGATCGGATGTAACGGCATCAAAGTGACGTATTAGTTTTCGAAACGATTATCCCGAGTGAATTGGACGACTTCCAGGGAAATTGGGAACCGAGCATTATCGCGCGTTCTTCGACGGCACTCGAGAATTTATCTCCATCGAGATTCGCGATAATAGAAATTCGAACTTGCGCAACTTAAATTTAACCGTCGTCCGTCTCCGCGTCAGATGTTCTCGTTTTAACGCTTCATGATGTCAACTTTATCTACTAGAATCGAGTATCGCTGTTCTTCCTTCTTTAGTCTAGGTGAATTCTAATGCCTATATCTCTATCGTGCTTACATTTTCGCGACTGTATTCGAAGGTTACGAAAGACATCATCGCGTTTAACTACCCTTGCAGGACCGAGATCTAGTTTGTTTGCTTCGGCCGTGCCGCATGAATAATGTGATCGTATCGACAGTTACGTTGTTTCGAATAACTGTACCGGATAAAAATGACGAGGGAGCGAAGAGAGAGAGAGAGAGAGAAGGTACGATACGCAAGGGAATGAGGAGGACGCGCGCGCGACCGTGTATGTGTCAGGTCCGTGCGTGTAAGCGCGCGGGCGCACATGCAGCAACTGACTGGAAGGGGTGGGGAAAGGACGACGCGCAGAGTCAGCGACTCTAAAGCAGACTACTTTACAGGTTAGGTAACGTGTATCCATGGCGGTTTTTTCCCCCGTGGAGAAAGTTAGCTTAGGCGCACTTGGAGCGTAAAATCGTCTCTCGGTGAACCATGCTTCTTCCCTGTTTTCCGTGACAACAAAATTAAAGTAACCTTCCAACGCTACATTCGTATCCTTTCCGCAACTATACAATACCCCTTTCCTCGAAATAAACGTCATCGGGATTTCACGAAAAATGGTTTCTTTCCGCGTCGAAACTAGCGCTCGTAAATAATGTTCGCGATCTTGAGACCAATCAACGATGTTTAACGTTTAAACGGAGACCTGACGCGCATCGATCGACGTTCGGTATGATACGAATAAATCATTTAGCAACAAGTGTCACGCGGCACTCTGAATCGTCTATTCTTTCGACGTGATTAATGTTGCGCGATGGCCAATCTTGCCGTTGGCACATAAAGGTGCCGGAGGTGCCATCTGTCGGTTAATTTAACAATTTATTTTTGAAATTATTTCCGTCCGAGCGCGTGACTCAACCGATCATTCGCGGAAATAATTTTCCGCGAGATTCATCCCTTCCAGCTAAACGCTAATTATTAGCTACAGAAACACGAGCGTGACTCATTTCGAGGAAAGAATATCTGGTCGTTCCCGTGACTAGTAAAAATAAACCGATTCCCGCGCGAACCTAACGTTTCCACGTCGACTGTTAACCCCTACAACCAGGTTTACCAACCTTGTTAAAAAATAGAGAGCACGTCGTATCGAATAGGTCGTATAAATTAAAACAAGTTGTGTCATAAGGGAAAGAGAGTAATATAATTACGAATTAATACCCTTTGCTTTCAATTTATATCGCGTACCGACAAGCTCGAAAGTTACGATGAATCTTAAATTCCTTTATTCTTTTTCTCAACGTTGGTATCGGCGTACTTACTTTTTGCATATTTCGCTCGGTCTACTATTCCAATGGACAACATAATTCGATGCAATTTTCCATAATCAGCCTTGTATAACACGATCCACACAACCGTTACGCAGAGTGGTGCAATTACCCATGGAAGAAAAAGCCATGACCAAGGGCACTTTACCGACTTTACGATATTTCACGGAACGCGTAAACGTAAAACGATGAAAATAAAAAAAAAGACTAGACTGTAGGGTTTGAAGATCGTTACGATACGCAAGATTCTTTTCCGGCGTCCAACGTTTCGACAGTTCTGGAAGCAGCTCGATTGATCATGGGGTCGCATACACTTTCGAGAGGGAGGGTACACCTTACTTGAAAAACAATCGTCAGCTCTCGATATAGTTTGCTTTACATCTCGAGACTGGTTTATCAGTTGTCAGTTGTCAGTTGCTAGTTTTCGACGAAAACGTCTCTTTGACTTTGAATATCGCGTCGCGATAGACGCTTTTAAGGTTTATAGGTTAGGAAGAAATAGCATATCGAAAACGTACACTCGTACGGGGCGGCGTCGCGAGTAAACGAAACGTTAGCCGATTCTTATGTAAATTCAGCATATTTCAGCGCTGGCAAGAAGATATTCGGAAGAACGTGCACGGGCACCGTATCCTTGTTCGCATGCGCTGCTAGACAAAGACAGACAGGCTATCGTGGTTTCGTTTCTCTTTTTAGTTGTAGGACGACCGAAGGCTCCCTTTACTCTATCTATGATAACGCAGCTGTACACGGAACATGGACATTTGCGTCGTTTTATTTGCTTGTATAAACTAATTAGCACGTTAACGAAAAAATTACTAAATTTCTTTTCTTTTCGCCGGTCGACAAAGTTGGGAACAACCTGGTGTAACACGAGGAACTTTCCGAAAGCGTTGTAGAATCGTAATGCGGTTCATTTTAAATGCGAAACCTTCCGGTCGTTCGTCTCTCCTCGTCTCTGTTTCTCGATCAAAGATTTCCAGCCAGAATACGTCCGTTTCGTGCAGCCTCGGAACGATGGCGATTCGTATTTGGGTCGGTCGCGACAATAGCGGAAAAGAATACGTGAAAACCGGCCCAATTATCGGTCGGCGTAACGCAACACGTAAATACGCGTGTACTTGCGTACCGCTAGTCTGCCCTCTATAGTCGCAGGCGCGTCTTAACGTTTCTCGGTAATACCGTTAGGCGAGCGATTTTCTTTTTTTCTTTTTCTTATCTGACCGGAAGAACCGAACACTGGTCGCGGCACGACGTCAATAATTACGTCGCCAAACTTACGATTTTTAAACAGAATTTCGCCGTTGAAGACGGGATTATCATCTCATGCTCGCTTAACCCTTCATTTTACAACGTATACGTAATACGCGACAAACTTATTCATTAAAATTTTGCACATTTTTCAAATGCGCGCAACTCTCTCAATTTTCGTTCTATCGTAACAATTTTGTAGATTACTATCTTCTAATCGGTGCAACCGTATTTTCGTTCATTATAAATTCCAGAAACATCCGCAGTCTGATGGTAGAGTGCCTGAGTAATTTTTGTTCTTTCGACGTCTGTTTTAGACGCTAAGATGAGATTGGAGGAGGATCTAGTGATACGTAGGAGCCGACCCACGATGATTTCTGCAAAGTATCGCGCGAGAGAAGAACGTCGTCGTTTGTTGAAGATCTCCGCCGGTAAGCTGAGGAGGATCGAGGACCCGGAGGCCAGCCTCTGCAGATCGGTTCTCATAAACAACGCTGTTAGACGGCTCCAGCGCGAAAATCGGGACGAGAAGACGAGGAATTACGGTCTTCCGGTGGTCACGTATCTGAACGATTCCACCAAGGAGAACAACGCTTCTGGCAACCTTATCGTCGGCGTGACCGACGACGATGCGTCTTCGAGGAAAAGGTGGGTATCGCGAAAAACAAAAAACACATTCAAACACAGGCAAATTCAACTATGAATACGTAATTTCAATTGCTGATTGTGGAAAACTCGAAGTAGGACAATTTATACAAAAACAAAAGTAAGATGTAGGACACGATCGTATGATTGTAGGATCGTCGTACAGAAAGTAGGACGCGTAGCATCCCTGAGGCGTATACATATATCTGGCAGGGTCAAAAATAGGCGAATGTGTTAGTAATTTTTTTCCAAGCTAACAATGAAATTGACGAAATCTCGATTTGGATCAGAAAAGACAGTCGACTGTATCTTGTATAACTTTCGCAACGAAAGGACAACGGAAAGGTTAGATTTCGTCGATTGAATGTACGCAAAGACGGAAGAAGAGCGCGAGATCTTAATCGCGATGGCTAGAGATTCGTTTTACATAATATAAATTACGCAATCGACAGTGAATCACGCAAGATTGTTGCGCAATATCTTCGGGACTGTCGACTCTTAACTCTTACCAATTCTAACCGCCTAGCGGGTCTCGGTCAAAAGACGTTGAGCTGTTCGTTCTGGGATCATTTTTATAAAACAATATGGCAGCGGTAAGCATTTACTCTCTGTTAGCGATAGAAGAAAGGAGAAGTAATCTCGTTTCGTTTAGTAGATTCTTTACAGATAAAGTAGATCTCATTGGAATAACCACAGGAAGGGTCTACTTACGTATCCAAATACTAATCTTCTTATTCTGAAATAAAGATGCACGTCGATATTGTGATTTATTATTTGTTGTACATTTGAGCTTAATGTTCATCTCAATCTTTATTCTCTTTAATATATTCCATTCGTACTATTACTATTATATTCACTATTATACGCATGATTTCTAAGTTAACGATTCTTACGTTCTAAGATAATATTATGTAATTTTCATGTACCTAGCTTCGCGTTTATGATTGTCATATATGTCAAATAACGAATATACTACAAAATATTTTTTGTCTTTCCTAATAGAAAAGTGTGCAGGCAGAAACAAAAAAAGTATGTATATCGAATGATTGAATGGAGGTACCTGCAATGGGTCGAAACGTTACGCAAATAAAATTGCGTTTAGTCTTTTCAACCCTGGTTTTAATTTTCACGGGAGAATGAAAAAATATTGAAAAAGACATCGCAGAAGTATCGCGATACTTTGCGAGTAATAATTCAAAGATAACCTTCCAATAGGTTATCACGGCTTTGAAATAACATCAATTAACGGAGTAGTATCGTCGAAATGAGAACTTACTTTAACAAATTTCTTCCAACCTAACAATTAAAAGGAATTACAGAGAATTGATTGATGCGAAGTTGCGAGAAAAAATAAAATTACCTTGGATGACGTTGTTAAAGTTAGATTATGTTTGGTTTGAAAAGGAAGTTAACATTATTCCAGAATGTCCAATGAAGTTGAGTTAGGTTTCGAGATGGTTGAGAATTTAGGCACTCCTCTACCGAGACTCGTAGAGCTCAATTTCGCTAAGATCGTATTTTTTCCTCGTAGATTGAGCGACGACACGAGGAACGAGGGACTCGGCCCCAAACGTCAAAGGCACGACGACCTCGACCTCCAGGACGATGTGTTCAGCGACTTTTACATCCTGCCGCCCACTCCACGGCTACTCTCCCACATAGACGAGATCCAGGAACCGGAGTCCCCGCATCACCATCACCTGGTCTACTCGGAGGACCGTCTGAGTTCCGTGGACGTTCGTTCGGGAACGACGATCGTGAACACGAGCACCGCGAACACGACTACCAGTACCAGCACCACCACCTCTCCGAGTAGTTGCTGCAACTCCGTCATCTTCCCTGGCGAGTTGGACGACTCTGGTTCCCAGCTCATCAGCGTGACGAGATCCAGCGACGTCAGCATGATGGAAACCTCCGACGTGGTCGACCCCGACAGGATCTGCGACTTCTCCAGATTCGCGGACTCTGCGAAAAGTCTGGAGGAACGTCTGGTCGAGCTTCAGTCTCTGGACGAACATTTCGATTTAGCAAAATTCGAGAGAAACAACAACCAGAGCTGCGGCAGAGCCTTCCACGACATCCAGACCTTCCATAGCCTTGTACCCGGCCTGGAAACCTAGAAAACAACGTCATGCCTCGAACACCACCCACCTATAGGTCTCTCCGACTCCGCGCCGGGGAAGGACCATGACAAGGCGACGATACCGGTCGATGGCTTCGCGACACGCACCAGGAACCACGAGGATCTCTATGGACTCGGAGGCTGGTGACTGTCTGTCGATCGTTGGACGTGTTTGCTACCCGAACGTTCTGGCTAGAAGCGCCTGCCATTAGGCTGCAGCCTCGAACAACACTCTCGAGGATGCAGTTCGGAATCCAACTATCGATACTTGGTTGTCCGTGGTTAAAACGAAGAACGAAGCTATCGGGTATGCCCGAAACACGATGGACCTTTACGAATCCAGCGAGCACAGACTTGTCTAGAGTTGAACTAAGGTTTTTTCTCGCGTACGTACATATGGATATCGGAACGTTGGTACTTGGGGCGTTGTACGTAGGGAATATCGGTACCAGAATGTCCTGAACTTACGCATACGTATATGTAATTTGTATATATTCGAGTACGTTTGTAAGAGCACGTTAACGATAACATTAGATGAATTTTTATAGCGGAAAATTTCACGGAGAAGTACGAGAGTAAATGTGGAACGTGAAAGAAGAGAAGAAGGACGGACAAATTATATTGAACGCGTCGCGCGCCTGTATAAATGCCTTTAGAGTAGCGCCGTGAATCGATGTAAATGTGGGATGGTATGCGATGAAATCGAATGGATTCACTATGCCGCGCGATAATGCCACGATGAGCCTTAATTGTTGTGCACGTTCTTCGATTTTTGTTGACATGATTCTATTGATTTGTTCCGTTTCGCGTTCCTCTATTTTGCCAGTAGCGAGGAACGCGTCATTTTTTTTTTCTTTTTCATTTTTTAAATTGTTTCCTCGTTATTCTTTCGAAACGAGCGACAAGTTACCAATCGATGTAAAGTCTTACGAAAAATGATTGTCGATAAAGTTTTGAGGTTATAGTCGGATGATAAACTCGATTGGTCGATGAGTGCCACTTCCGCGAATCCTGCCACTACTTTTAACCTTGGAACAACTATCGCCACGTTTAACTTCTAGGGATACACGAGACTTCTCTCCAACTTGAATTGGTAATTACGATAGAATACATCGTAATATTTATACTTCGTGTTTTTCTATCTTTTTTAATGTAAAAGAACAATTTATAAACTGGTAAGAGTAGATAAAATTTTGATAAAGTAGAAGTTAATCGATGAAAGCAACACGAGCCATAAGTAACCTAGAAATGTGTTAGATCGGTTGAAACCCCAGAAGTCCTAAGGTTAAGGTAAAAGCAACGGTAGTGGACATTTAACGCTGTTCTTCGTAGAAAAGTTACGACAACAAAAAATTGCATGGTAAATTCACCATTGATTGGGACATGAAAAAACTCCAAGTTACAGTGGTTGACATTTCTTGGTTCGGTAGTTGGTGTTTGGGGAATGCATTAGAAAAATGAACTGCCATTTTTTACTCTTCGTGTATCGGTGTAGCGCAATGGAATTGTGTACTGGTTCGTTACTGGCTCGAAAAACTGACGTTGAATGGCGTCGCCTGTCCTCGGATTAACTTTGTTCCGAACAACAGCGCCAATAATTTTTACACTTGTCCCGAAAACTCTCTCCTACCGAAGCACCGTTAACTTCTGATACAACTATCGAGACTTGTTCTATTCTTAGAACAAGCTTTATATATTTATAACATTTAAGGCTGTAATTGTAAATAATCTCGATATATAGCGGCTTATAGGAAAGAAGAATTAATAAATTTAGAATATTATTACATCTCCGATATCTATCGAGATTATTTTTACTTTTTCATATTCCATAAATACATATTTATTGTAAATAGTATTTTTATTATCTCGGAAATGTGTATGTTCCGTCATTCCTGATTAGAAGGAATAGTCCTTATTTTACCAATACGTATTATACACGTGACCAACGTGTAAGTTTTTCACTTCCATTTATGTGTATGTTATTTAAATTTGTATATGTGTTTTATTCTTCTTATTAATGTTTCATAATTTTATTATTATTACAATTATTATTATTATTATTATTATTATTACTATTATTATTATTATTATTATACGGGTAAAGATCCTTTAGTAATACTGTATATAATGTAGTATTACATATATTATTATTATTGTAATTATTATTATCGTAGACAAATTTTCGTAGTGAAAAGGACTGAAATTGCAGCCAAAGACGTTATATGTATATGAAGCTTGTCTTTCGACTGAGATGGATTTCGATAAGTTCATACGGGACAAAATATTGTTCCACTAATTACACTGGTGCAATAACTTATTCCATTTGTTTTTACAACAGTATCAAATATCAATTTATTTTAGAAGGATTTGCTTGTTCGTTTGAGCCAAACGAACCAATGAAAGTCAAAGGACGTTCGTCTGTAAAGCGTGGTGGTAACATCCGAGTGGCCTTGCGCCAGCCAATTACTTTTCATCCGACTATAGTCCGTGAATTGTTTCTGGCCGATCGTGACACGAATCGCGTGAATCATCACGTTCCAGAACGCGATTTTCCAGAGCGAAAGTGACCGATGAACGATTTTATTGCCAAATGGCCTTCTCCGTTGCTTAATAATATTTACGTTGACAAAAGTATTTTCAATTTTATATCTCGAACCCACATGTTAGGGATACTCTGTTAACTCTAATTTCCAACGAAGAATGTTCGCGATGAATTTTTGTAAAATTTTTGTTACGATAAAACGCGATTGTGCATACGATTTCTATACATTGTTCTTGTATATAAAGTATCGTTTAAGGAAGGTACATATAGATAAAGCTCGAGCGGTAATAAGGTGTATCTTTAGGGTGGATTCAGCAGACAATGTACGGTGCAATACTTTGTCCTTTCAGTTTCCCTGCAAGGAACGCGCGAGAGAAGTTGCGAACCTACCCAAAACCCGATGATGGGCAAAAATTTTATTTAGATGAAAACTCAAATAATGAATAAAAAAAAAATAAATAAATAACATTGAATCTGTCATTTTTTTCATACAAATTACAACTGAATTACGAAATGAAATAATATTTTACGTTGGACGAATAAAAGTTTATCCGAATATGAGATGCTACACTATAGTATAATATCGTACCGTACCATCGTTTATTATTCCAATAAGATTTTCATTCGCGTTAGTTGTGTAACAACGATCAGTTATCGTTGCGTGTAATTTCATTCTATTCGTCTATAGTAATCCAAATTTTTATTTTTATTAAACCAATAACGGATAAAGACGTACGTATGTTTTATTCGTGACTCGAAATAATTATCTAGATAAAAATTTTGCTCATCCATGATTTGCAAAAGTGCCGCGCTATTCTTTTTCTCTAGCTTATCTCCTCCTCCTCCTCCTCCTCCTCCTCCTCCTCCTCCCCCCCCCCCCCGTACCACAAAAATACTAAGAAGAAAATGGATATTCGACGATGTATCGTCTCTCTCTTTTTATAAGTTTTAATTTAAATGGGACACTGGACGTTTTGGACGTTTCACAGGATCGATAACAATTATCCAACTCCTGCCCCCTCGCCCTCTGTCAAATTTTTATTTGCACTGGATAATAATGCATAATGATCAGAGATAGGCAAAATGTTTTCGAATAATAGATAAGACCAATAAAAGCACCGCATAGGTATCTATTCGCAACGTTTATTCGACCGAACAATTGTACAGATGAACTATTCTTCGTGAACTATAATTTTATTTCGCGACCAAGATTGTAATTTTTATTAAACACGGTAACGGATGAGAAGTATTGTTGATCTATTATTCGTTTTCTTATTTAGAAAAGTACTTTGCCCATCTCTGGTGTTAATCCTTTCGGCATTGAGAATTGAGAGGTACCGTGATAGCGATGTCGAGCGCCCTCTCTGTATTCGTCGCACGATCAACGCCAAAAGGGTCAACGCGTGTCTATATGTTACGTAATCATTGATACTCCACGTATCGTAAATTTTTATACGAAACTTATAAGCCGGACGACGGCGGAAATAATAGAAGCAAAACAGTAAAACGATATATCCGTTTATCAGAGCGTGGAAACAACGCAATGAAAATCCAATCTTCCTTTCGTTCGCTTTAACCGTATTTCGAGAAAAATCGAAGTCGATACGTCGAAGAACGATGCGTAGTGCTGAAAAAAAAAACGTTAACTCGATCTCGTGGTTCACGCGTCACACTGTAAATAGCTGCCTTAGCACCCCTAAAGTAATCAGCTATGTATAAAGTTTCATACGTTGTTTAGGTTTTTAGTACATAGTTATCCGAGATCAGTTACCAATTATACGAACAAATTGCAAATAAACTGCAAAAATATAATCTCCCATTGACTCGGTTTTGCCTTCCTGGCCTCCTCTTGACCTTCGACGTAACACAAAATAACGTACAATAAACCAAGCAATCTGAAAGAAAGGAACAGTTCGATCGTACTCTAAGGTTGCCGAGTTGTTTAACCCTTGGCAGACAGGAGCATTTTTTAACACACAGTGAATGCGAGGAATACTACTTATTTCACTCTTTGCATACGAAACATTTATTTTGTTGTCTCGACCATATCAAAAGATTATGCTAACCAACCAGCCTCAAGCCTAATAAATGAGATGCATCATTGCCCCAGAGGAACGAGCAGTACCACAATTGTTCATAATTATCCTTTATTATTCATTACATTCATTGCATTCATATTTTGCTATATATAGAAGCACAAACGCCAGTTAATGGACACAGAAACAGTATAGCCATCTAGCGGCGGCGACCGAACTAACTTTTCACATATATTCGCATTTTTTACTTTTTTCTGCATATTCATATAATTTTACATCGTCATTAACATAATTCAACATCCAATTGTTGATTTCTACACTAATAATTGACCTATATGAAGTTCTTTAAATAAATAAAAGTTACTAAAAAATGTCGCGCCATCTCTCGGTGAACCGCCCAAGTTTTTTACGAAGTAGTTTCCACGTTGCGCTGCTAGATGGCGCCATAAAAAAAATGCCATATTCAAAACATAAATTCTCTACTTTTCTCTGCATATAAATGTTATTTTACATCATAATTATCATAATTTAACATTCAATTGCTGATTTGTACACTAACAATTGACTTATATGAAGTTCTTTAGATAAATAAAAATTACTGAAAATTTCGCGCCATCTCACAACGAATCGCCCAAGTTTTTCGTGAAGTAGTTTCCACGTTGCGCCGCTAGATGGCTTCACACTGTTCGGTATTTTTATTTATTTAAAAAAAACTAAGCATTAGACAATTATTAGTGTAAAAGTGGTTAGCATAATCTTTTCATATGATCGAGTCAACAAAAAAATGTTTTTTTAAAAAATGCTCCCGTCCGCCAAGAGGTAAATAACTCGGCAACCCTAGAGTACGATCGAACTGTTTCTTTAGAATTCCAAGCTGGAATATTCGAGCTTTCCGACAGTCCTAGCGTCAACATAAGAATGAACCATTTGCTTATAGTGTTTTGGTACTTTTTTTTATTGAGTGTTGCGAATATATACAAAGGATGACGAACTAATAATAGCTATTACATTAGAACCAAATAAACAAAGGTTATTATAATGGTTTAACGTGTGTTAATATTTATTTAAATAACGTAATATTCATAACGATGTGTGCTGAATTTCCAAAAGGAGGTTGTCACTGCATACGCTGGAAGCGTTTCTTTGTCATTTGTTTATATTTTTTGTATCGACATTGGTTCGTAACATTCGATACTCGAGAAAAAGGAAAGAAATATTCGAGATCCAAGTCGATAGCGCGTTAAAAAATTGCTATCAAAAGGCTATACTCGGAGAAACATCGAATCCACCGAATCATCGAAGTCGATCGATGTAACCCATTCAATGGTTACATGTTTCTTAATCCAACGCGATTTATTTGAATTAAAAGGGTAATAAAATATATCTGTTGAAACGCATATTTTTTTTAGATTTAGGAATAGTAACGAATTATCGTGCTCGTTGACGAACAAATCGTAATCGAGCGTTTCCATAGATCGCGAATCGAGACGTACGATATCCCGAATTACGACGCGCAACGAGTGATCTAGTATTAAAAAGTGAAAAATTTCTATCGTTACGTCTCGCGTCCGTTTCTGTTTCACCGATAAATTTGTGCGTTTAAAGAGCCACGACTCTCAAATAATGATTCGCTGTAAATCGAACACAGAACTAGGATGACCCGATGATCGTGTACTGGTACGATTACTCGACCCAAGCGTGATACAAAATCGTGTAAAAAATATGAACACGTTTCCCGCCGTTTGCACGCCGACGCGAACACGAGTAGACACGTTCGACGAGAGCACGCTTGAACTTTTGTTGGATTTGCGATCATGAAAACATCCGAAACGATTTCAATATCGAGAGACGTCGACGATCGATTTTTCGTTCGGAAGTTTTAGGTTATCTCGAAACGTGTCGAGTTACGGATTCGACCGAACACCGTGGATTTCGATGGAATACTAAAACCATAGAGATACTCGATATCGTAGAGCAGGGGAGACATAGGTCGGCTTGTAAGTGGAAATGTCACACCGTTAGAAAGAGAAAGAAAACCGCGGTATATATTACGTATACAGCCGTTATATTAAACATTTATACAATTTATGTGTTACGTAACACTGGTAACGGTAAAATATTACAAGAAAATAATTGAAAGCCGAGCCAAATTGAATCGAATAAAGAGTTAAGGATGAACCGTGCGTTGATGGACGAAGACAGGTGGGGTACCACCGCGGTTTTTTCTCTTTTTAGTCGGACGGTCTGGCTCCTCTACTCTATGGTATCTCTATAACTAAAACACAATCTTCTAAGGAAAACAAATCTCGGGGGGGAGGGGGGGGGGGATCGACTCGTGCAGGCGGTAGACGTTGTACGAGTGTCGATCGATTTCGCGAGTATGAGGTTTTCTTGAAGTTAGTCGAGAAACAGCAACGACGTAATCACGGTGTTGGCGCCTACGAGCGACTCGATAACCAGCGAAATTCGTATTGTTCACGGCGTCGAGAAACGACACTTAAAATTAGTGCGCGATAGTTTGTTTTCTTTTGTTTGTTTTATTGCTTCTGTGTATTCAGTTTTTTTTATTACTAACAGGTAATCACTCAGCTCTCGATCCACGTAATAAAATATTTTTTCCTATCCTAAGTAAACCGATCGCTCGATCTTATTTCCTTTCGATCACAAAAATAGAATTCTTAAAACTTAAAATCAGTTCACTCGCATACTTCCCCCCACCCCCACTCTCTTTATCGTCCCGCTCTTTGTCTCCCACTTCCTCGTTCCCTTTGAAAACTTCCTTTGAAATTTTGTTCCCATCTCTGCCGGCACGCACACAACACACGCGAGCGATCATTTGCCGAGGAGTATGCAGTAGTTTACATTTACAATCGTTTTAATTCCATTGGTTAAAATTGGAGGAAAAGCTTTCACCAAACGTTCGTACGACTCGATAACGTTTCAATAAACATTTTTACAATTTAACAATTCACATTAGCCTTTAGCGGTTCGGCGATTACGAGGCGTTCGAGTTTCTCGAGACGAAGAAAAAAAATGATTCGACCAGCTTAATTTCAGAGGGAAAAAAAAATTGTATATTTTAACGCAAAACTGTAATCGATACACAGAATCTTACAATAATCGAATACGCATCGGATAAATGTTTAGCTATTAAAAAAAAAGAAATGGAAAAACGGAGAAGAGGAGGAGAAATAAGAGTTAAACGCAATTAAAAAGATCTACGCGAGTTTTGGGCTATAATAATAATAATAATAATAATAATAATAATAATAATGATAATGATAATAATAATAATAATAATAAATAAAGTTTGCAGCGATCCTCGAAACGATCGGAAAATCGCAATTCTGTACACGTCGCTTCAACGTACCCATCCCATTCATGATCGCACTCAATGAAAAAAAAACTCTACAAAATTTAAGAAAAAGAAAACTGAACACGAACTGTCAACAATTTCGCTTTAAAAAATCATTGTTAATTCCGATAGAAAAATACGGTTCGTACGCGTACTGCACACAGCTCGGTAAACAGCATCGCGATTATAGACGCCAACCGCACCGCCGATAACAATAATTACATTAATCGTCGATAGCTATTCCGATCGGTGATATTCCACTTTTTTTAGTTTCGATATACATATATTTAAACTTTTTATTTATATATATATATATATATATTTATATATATATATTTATACTTATATATATATATATAGATATATCAAAAATATCCTTAATAAAATAGAGCATTTTATATGTATAGCGTACTGCCAAGTACTTTTTTTTTTATCATAATTTTACCCACTATGTATATTGTATGTATATACATAGACATATACGTATATACATATAATATACATATTTATTTATAACGTTTAGTATCATATATATGTTTTCAATATACATATAATACCCACGTTGACATTCTTTCCTATCGTACGCTCATAATGTATGTATGTGTGTGTATGTGTGTGTGTGTGTGTCTGCGTATCGCACGACTACATCCACATGTACGCCGTGTGTACTTTTCTGTTTTTTTTTTCTTTTACGTGTCGCCACGTGATCGTATGTTTTCTCAGTTTAAATAACGCGCAACGTCGGGTTCCTCGGTTTCGTTGCTGCATCGCATCACGGATACGCTGTGTTCTTATTTGCTGTTTCTCGACTTACGAAACGTTCCTCCCCTTTCTGGCTACGGGCAAGGGCAGGGAGTGGGGAGGACATTGTGCTTAAATATCGATATTATTCGTGCGGACAAAAAATTGTTTAACGAACATTAGTCGCCACGTACGTATAGTTCTATCGTTTGAAATTATTCGAGGCTTCCGAGTGCGGATCACGTGAAAAATATCTGGAGATTCTGGTAACGCGTACCGTCGCTGTTAGAGAGTATCGTTTAATGGTTTCTTAGGGACTGCAATGTAGTACACGCGAGTCATCGATAAGAAAATCATTTTCCAGATGGACACCGAAAAGCCAGTGGGCAGTTTCAAGCGCGAGAACTTCACGTCGCAAGAGGCTCATAAACTTCTATCGTTCTAAATGCATAGAAAAATACATGCCATGACGAAATATAAATGATCGCGAGAAAACATGAGCAATGCGATTTAGCATCGATTATCAAGACCGAAAAACTGAACTATGAACATATTTTGCTAACATTTTTCGCTATTGTTGCGAGTCTTGCCGACAACGATCCGCAAGTGTAAAACGAACAAATACACCAGGAATACGTCCGAGCAACCAGCTTGATATCAGCACGATATTCACTCTATCTGGACGCGCTCGTTATAAATTTCAAAAATGAAATTAACCCAAATTCAAATGATCCTCTCGTCTGATCACTTTCGTTGCTTTAGACCCCTAAATTGCCCTCGTCTCTAGCGAATACGAATACATTTATCACTTTCTTTCTTTCTTTCTTTCTTTCCATTCTTCATTTTCAAACTATTTACAATCGATAATGACGCTACGGTTGTAGCTCTCTTTAAGGCAATCATTCTAACGTGGCGATACGCCGATATCGTCTCCCGTATCTCGATGAGAACAAGGGCTGTACCCCGTACAGAGTTTCGAACACTTCTCGGGCTCGTTTCGATCTTTCACGTGGCGACAATGCATGCGCGAACAAGTTAGAAGAAATCGAAGAAAAGGAAACGGGCTTCTCATCGTCATCCCGAGAAACTAACTTGAACATCTCAAAACCTCTCGCTGTCTATTCGCGATCGCGTTACACGATTTGTTAAAGGAATCCTTGCCACGACCATTCATTTAGTCGTCGCCCGTTTATAATTCCGTACTCCGCAATGAAATACTATTAATATTAATAATAATAATAATAATAATAATAATAATAATCATCATCATCATCATCGGTTATCAACTAGAACGTAATAATTTTCAGTTATGTACAATCCAATATAATGATATATAATAACGTAATAAATAAGCTCGAGGCGTAGATCTACACCTACCTAGAGTGTATTTATCAATTGTTTTCACACATTAACACTTATTGTATTCCGTTTATAACAATCGCCGTTATTATAATTAATTACAAGTCGTCATTATGCGCTCCTCTGGCGAGCAGGCCAAAATATATATTTTCTAATGTACAATTGATTAAGGGTTGCCGCCACCGTCACTTTAAACGATTCCAGGTAGACAAAATATATCGGTGGCGATCGGGATTATGCAGGGTGTTTCGTCTAGTCGCACCACCACCATCACCTGACGTCTCTCCGTTGTCTTCTGCAGTTAATAAAAAAATTAAAAAAAAAAAAAAAAAAAAAAAAAAAAAAAAAAAAAAAAAAAAAAAAGAAAGAAAGAAAGAAGACAGGAACGCGAACGTTATTAGTCGAAGAAATCGTCGTCAGTTTCAAGCAAGGCAAATACTACGACGATGCTTTCGAACTTGTTGAAATTTCAAGGTCATCGAGTTTCTTTTTCGTCCTTGTAAATTCGATCGTGCAAACTGAATTGACCTTGAAAGAAGCTTTTCATCGAAGCTTGTCTTTGTTCTTCACTTCGAAGTATTCGATTAATTTCTTTAAACAAATCAATCAACATCCCTCCCTTTGATTTTTCAATAATTGTACGATTCGATCCGCTATATCATTAATAAATAATAATGAAAAGGCTTTGAGAAATTTATGTCGATTCAGTGAAAGGATAAATAAATAACCGTGCGAAAGTCTAACCTTGTATGTTTTATGGTTTATCTTACAAAAATTCCCAAAAACGTTCGAAAAATTAGACCCGGAAAACGGGAATTCCCCCTTTAACTGGAGTTTCATCACAATACGGAGTGCGGGGGAAGGGCACGCGTCGCTAATATTCCTTGTAAGAAAAAAATATAATCGACCGTGTGCGATGCGTTAACAAAAAACTTCATTTTAGACAAATCTACATTTGTTTGTAAACGATGTTCATTTTAGGTCAGACGATGTTAAAAATCATCGTCGTTAACCCCCTGGGCTGGAATAGCGAGCCTGATTACACGATTTAATTCATTGTTTTCTATTTCGATTTCTAGTCAACTTAATTTTTATACATTTTACAGTACGAAACACTGTTCTCTAGTAATTTTTAAGAAATTAACTTTTAATTTACACAAGCGTGTGATAGGAGTAATGAATGGTATTAAATGCCACCTTCTCTTTACGAAACTAAATTAAATACCTAGGGTATATGGTATCGGTCTATAGAATCGATCGTTATTCTTACGCATGCCGGCCCAATGAGTTAACTTGCTTGCATTTTCAAATGCAGTAAATAAATCATTTCTAAATATAAATAAAGTTCATCAGTTAGTAAAATGTATAGGTCACAACATTGCGTTACACGTCGATGACCTCGAAATTCAAACAAAATTTGTTATTTATCGTAGTAACAGTTGTAACAGTCGGCTAGAACAACGTTGCGTGTTACTATTACCAACTCAAATAAATAAAATTACGAATAGCATTATTTTTGTTTCCTATATTTTGTGCGAAACAACGTTACACGAGGTTCCGTAAGACGGGTCAGTTGTTAATGTTTCATGCATCCTGGAAGATTTGCCTAATCATTTACCTAACCATTCTGTTCCGAGATGACTGCACCCGAAAGACATATGAAAACGTCCGCTTATCAGTGAGCGTGTCATCGTAAAAATACTATCGCCAACGTGCACAGACGCTACAATTGATTGAGCCAGCGTCGTTGCAACGCGATTCATCAGTGGCGTTGCTTATCCTTCTATTTCTCTCTTGGTACTGTCAACGCGTAATCATCTCGGAATGGAATAGTAACAAATATGCAACGTTGCTCTAAGCATCCGTTCGTTTGATAAACAACGTATCTTGTCTACAATGGATTGTACTGTATACCGATGAATAACAACGGGAACATTTCGGTCGGTCGAAAAAGCCAGACGGTGCGCCTTGCAATAGAATATATTGACGTCAGGTGTCGCGGGTATGCTCGACTCTTTCCCCGTTGGACGCGAACAAGGAACGAACTACCGATTACTTGATCGTTCTTCGAGCGGCCATGCGCGATTGTCCCATTTTCTGTATCTCTCGAAGAACGTAGAACAACGATATGTCTAGCAATGAACAGAGTACCGATAAAGAGCAAGGCAAATTAACTTTGTCACTCGTGGGAATTATATATATATATATATATAATATTCGTTCGACCCTTTCTCGAGCGATCGTCACAAGAACTCGTATCGAACGAGGAACAAAAGGGCCTGGAGACTCGGTGCTCTCGATAACTCCAAACTTTCGCACAGGATTCCCCGCTTCGTCTCTTCTTTCACGTTGAGACGGTTATATGTTTTGTGTATTTTCATTTTGTTAATATATTCACCTATGCATACATATATACTGTCCCGAGTCCGTTCGATGCTATACTCTCTGTCATTAAAAAACTAACGACTTTGTTCGCGGGTCTCACTTTTAGGCACTTTTCCATCGGAAACAGGTATCTTCCATGTGTTTTCACGTCGTTTTCTAATTCTCACACGTTGATGCTTTGGTTGGTTAGTGTATAATCGTTAGTATCCAAGTATCTCTAGCCGTTTCCGTTTAGTTACTTATATATTTCTATCTATGTATCGTGCGCACGCACAGATTTGATCACGATCGATAATTCGACACAGAGCGCACGCGCGCGTCGTACCGTTTTGAGCGCTAGCTCGTGATCAACGTGCGCACCGAATAAGGCAGATATTGTCACGTTTACTCCGTTTGGCGATCCCCTCGAGCCGGCATTAGCGAGCAGCAAAAAATTGTGCCTCGTTTTGCTCGATCAGCCGAACCTTTCCGTGAACACGCCACCCCCATGTACTCTTCTCTCGTCTAAAAGAATCGTAACGTCTAACTACTTACTATCCCTCCGTTTCTCTCGGTCCGTTTCATTTGTCGGTAGGTCTGGTGACCGTCTGGGGTATCACCGTCAACGATTTGGGGATTTTCGGCAGTATCGGTATCTGGCCAGCCGCCTTGGTAGTCACCTGTATCGACTTGGGCAGATTCAAGTTGTGCAGCAGATTCTGCGTGGGAGTGTTTTCGTTGGTCAACGTGCGCACGTCGCAAATTAGGGGCTCGAAATCGCCTCTGGTTTGTCTGTTCAGCATCTCCTGCTGCATCCTCAGATGTTTTTGGAACTGTGTGTGAGCAGCTAGTTGCTGCGCCTTCTGGTACTGCGTGGTGGACTTGGAATTGGGCGGCGAAGAGTTCGAGCCTCCCGAACCGACGGGACTCATGCTCGACTGTTTCTCCGAAAGTTGTTGCTTCTGCTTCTTCAGAGTTTGCAGACGCTTGAAGTCTGGCTCGCTGAGCTGAAACACCTTTCCACCCGATGTCACGGGGATTCTCTGGCCCTCCTTTCTTTTCACGTTGCCGTTCGCGGTAGCGGTACTGGTGGACGGTAGGTTCAATCGTTGCAGGTTGGGAGGTGGTTTCTTGATTATGGATACACCAGGATTGAGCTTGAGGACGCGCGACGGGCTGCCTTTTGATGACTGTTGCGCGCCAGAAGTGGGCAGGGCCTTTGTCGTGCTCGCGCTCGTGCCAGGAAGGGACAGTCTGTCCCTCTCGAGCACGTAGCCGCCGCTGAGTCGGCGAGAGTTGTTGTATTCGGAGGCTATAGGCTCCATGATTGGCTCGTCCATCTTTTCAGGGCCTTCGTAGGATATCAGTCTGTTCTGTACGGATGTAGAGTAGTTGATCGCGTTTCGCGATGCGTTTGGCGCGAGTATCAAGTCCCCGGACCTGTAATATTTCTCTAAAAGTATCAGGTGTCTGAGAAAAGAGCTCTGGTTACCGTAGGGTCTCTGCAGCTCTTGCCAGAGATGCTTCGTGTCCCTGTCGTACTGTATCATCGTGGCACACTTCTCCCAGCCCTGTGGCGTGATCTCTCGCACGTTCGTGAACTCGATGCTGGCGTGGAGATTCATCTCCTCCTCGCCGGGGAACAAAGTGCGCACGCTTATCGAGGGATTGGCGCCGAGTCGTTGGACCACGGGCGTTATGTCGTTGTTGGTCCTTGGTCTCTTTGGCAGTCTGGTCAGGGTCACCTCCTTGTCCATCGCAAGAATTTCGACGACTTCGCTGGGGCCCTCGCAGGTTATCGTCGTATCCGAACCAGTGTACGGGTGCATCTCCAGCATCTTCCGTTTCTTTAGCTTCTCCACCGTGCTCTCGATACCGAGGAACTGCACGTCCGTGGGGACGGTCTCGTCCGTCGAGTTGGAGTTCGAGTTTCCCTTCGTAGCTCGGTTCTCGGTCTCTGTATCGCCATTGGTACCCTCGTTTTTACTTGGTTCTGGCGTCGACTTCTCCGAGGCAGTCGTCGTACCATCCGGAGACTTGGATACGGTTACCGCTTTCGGCTGAGGGGGACACTTGCTACTCTTTTTCCGCTTATCCTTGTCCTTGGACTGAATCTGCGGGGTGTCGCCATCATCGTTGTCCAGAACTTCGATGTCGTGATAGTGTAAGATTCTACCATGAAGAAGGAAATAAATAAATAAATAAATAAATAAATAAAGGATGAATCGCGACCTTGATCCTCCTTAACGTTACCATTCGTATCGTACCTTTTCCGATAATTCTTGAAGAAGGACCTGTGACTCGTGTTCATGTTCTCGACATCCTTGTATTTCAATTGCAGCTGGGTGAAGTAACGACACAGCTTGCAGACGAAGGTACCGGCAGCCAGAGCAACGGGAATCCCTTGCTGGCCGAGTAAGTGGTTCAAGTCGTCGGTTTCCGCGTTCGCCAGCTGATGAGTATAGTTCCTCGCCAGACGACGTTTGCAGAGCGCGCAGGTCAAGAATCGTTCTATCTTTGAGTAATGACTGACACAAAACGACATCGACGTGTGTTGACTCGACTCCCAATCGATGTCCACCTGTGTCAAAAAATATTTGTTATAATATACATAATGTTTCTAACGAAGCATTTAATTTTTATTCGCGATTGCGTTTACCTGTTTTTGCAGGCCAGCTTTTATCTTGAGCAACCATCGTCGCTTAACGTGATGTCGCGCAGCGTCCCTACATTCGCGAGCCGAGCATTTCGACACCATTAGTTGCCGGTGTTGCTTCTGAGGTTTCGTTTGCATGTTTGTTGGACTTGTATTTGCCTATAAATATTGTTATTATTATTATATATTGTTATTATTATTAAAGTGTACATGTCGAAAAGGAAAGAAATACCTTTCTGTCCACATGACGATAGCAAGCATCACATAAACACGAGTCCTTGGTAAGGTGTCTTTCGATATTCAAGATCTTTTTGCGTCTTTCATCGGACTTCATCTGTGCCAGATGCATGGGCGTGTCCAGAGAGCCAAACTTCCCGAAACAGTAGCAACAGACGTCGGCGCACAAACGTCCTGGATGAATGGAGAACGAGGAGGACTTTTCTGGAATAACGAGCGACTGGCGATCCTTTGGCACGGCATCTTCGTTATCCTCGTCTACACCGAATAAAGGATCGATGATTATAATGCAGCTTTTAGGGCCAGCGGAATACGTGAAAAATCAAGGTCGAGCTAGATTCCTTCAGCGAGACGTAATCTTGCCAAGGAAAAGTGTTGTATTTAGCTTTTGAAGCAGTGGCGCGATATCGCATGCTTGTTACAGATATATGTAACCGTTGTAAGTACGATTTGCAGAGGAGATGATCCGTGAACGAGTATCGCTCGACGCTATGTAAAATCAAATTCATCTAAACATATTCGAATTAACGATAATCATTTTGGATATTTTTGAAAATAAGACAGATACTAAGATAGTCTCCCAAGTTGAATCCAGAAAATTGTTCGTCTAAAGATCAAGCGATCCTCTTCGCAATTCTGAAGCGTCAGACTGTACAGAGGGCATGAGTCGTGTGTGTGTGTGTGTGTGTGTGCGTGTGCGTGTCTGTATGTGTTCGTTTTAATAAAGCAGAGAAGGACAAGGGAACGATTAAGAATGTAGTTATTCCCACAACCAGGATTACCGCAAGAGTGTCTGTGGTTAGTAGAGAACTTTCGGTTCGCACCAGAGCTGCTATCTCCCAAACCACTGGTTCCAAACTGAAAACAGAAAACAAGTCAACAGTTGAGAAAAAACATTTTATCGAAATGGGTTTTATATTGAATATTATTCGATATTTCGATAGCTTACCTCCTTTTGAATGGTGTAAAACTCGGGTGAATCGCCCTCCCCGTCTCCGCGGCCTTGCTTCAGCACCATCTTCAAAGGGGACCTCGACCGCCTCTTGTCCTTATCCTTATCCTTCTGTACCCTGATCACGGTCTTCAGAGTGCCCGTGTACTGTTCCTTCTTCGCTTTCTGATGGCTCAGTCGCTCGGCAGCCTTCTCCAACGACTCCAATCCTAGCAATCTCAAGATGGACTCTTTCTTAACCTTGTCCTCTGGTGTTTCCAAGATCTTTGGGGTGATGTTCACGCTGCTGGACGACTCGCCTGACATGGACGTTTCGTCGGAGTCCTTTTGCGACGTCTCCGGTGTCTTTACAGGTTTACATTCCGCTTCCAGTATGTTGATATTCTCCGTTTGCTTGGCCATGTGATTCGTCGAGAGGTTCACGGATAGCCTGTTCTCGCAGTTAGGTTTTCCAGGTTTCCTTCCGATGACCAAGTCGTTCTCCGACTTGCTTCGAGCGTTGTCCGCTGCTTCCTGATGTTTATCGAGGCTGCCTCTGCCACCCTCGGAAAAACCACGGAAATTCGTCGTACATTCCGACCCGTTTTCATACTTACTCAGGAACGATCGATTGTTTTCGTTTATCGTGGCTACCTCGTCGTCCAGCAGGGTCTCTTCCTTGTTTTGCTGGTCGGATCTCCGAACCTTCGATCGTCTGTTCTTCAACGCAGTCAGCTGATCCTCCTTGCGCTTCTTCGTCTCCCTGCTGCGTCTCGGCCGAACCTGAGGCTCGGACCCATTCGATTCCAATTCGTTTTGAGCGTCATCCGTGTCCTCTGTTTTCACTACAGCGTCAGCCTTTTCCTCCTGTAGTTCTTGCACATCTCTCGCGATATTCTGCACCTTTTCAACTTCTTCCTCGGTTTTAACATTCGTCGTACCGTCGCTTCGTTCCCTGCTAGAAGACGTTTGTCGTTTCTCTGATTTTCTCGATTTCTCTCGAGCCCTCAGCACCCTCTTCTTGTCCTCGGCCGCAGACTTTTGGTCTTCCATCGTTGCAACGTCGGTTGGTAATTTGTCGCTTTCTTTTTCAGCCTCCTCCGTCGCCGTGGACTGACCGTGTTCCGAATCTTTCTTCGAAACTACTTTCTGCTCATCGGACTCGAAACTTTTAACACCTATAGCAACGTTACAGGTTCTATTCTCTTTGCATGTATTATCTTTGTTGGTATCTTCGGTATCTTTTGGGTTGTCTTCGATGGAATTACAGGTATCACTAGCGTTAGAATCTGTGTTCGAGTTAGAGGTAACCGATGCGTAACAGTTACTGCTATCTTGTTTTGTATGTAGCACAGATTGCAGAGTACCATGTTCGTTTTCTTTGGGCTTTTCTAATGTCCGAGGTATGTCTTCCATATTACTTGTGTCCTGCTCAACGTTTACTTCGTCGACCGTTGCTTCTTGTACGTTGCCGTCGTCTGGTATTGCGGTTGATTCGCTCAGAGACAGTGAGAATTCTGTTACATTCGTAATACTCGATTCTCGCTCGTCTTGCACACCTTTTGCAACATTTTGTAACTGATTACACAATTGACTTTCCGCTACTAATCTCTCTACTTCTTTTGAAATACTTTCTAACGTTTCTGCTTCTTCAGAATCTGCAAAACTATTTAAAGGAACCACGGTTTCGCTTTCGGTAGCTTCATTTGTCTTTACTTCTTCTTTGACGAGCCTTTCGTTAATCTGCTGGGATCCAGTTTCTGCATCGTCGATCAAAGGTCCCGGTGCAATCTTGGTCGATTCATTTCTAAGGGGTTCGACATTCGAAACTGTATCATTAAAAGCAGATTTATTTGTATCTTCTTGCAGAGGTACAGATTTATTTGCATCTTCTTGCAGAGATAAAGAGTTATTTGCATCTTCTTGCAAACATAAAGAGTTATTTGCAACATCTTGAGGAGATTCTTCACAATTGTCAGACTTCTGAACTGTTTTATTCGATACCCTATTCACTTTTTTCGCAGTCTCGCTGTTTACATTTTCCGGAGAATTTTTGTCAATTATTCTTGGGGATTTTCTAACAGCCACTCCTTTTTTACTGTCGTCTGTTATTTTAATTTGATCATCGGTTACTTGATCTGAATATTTCTCGGACACCTCTGTCGAGGTAGAAGATTCGCTTGGTTCTTCCTGCTGTTCCACAGATTTGCGACAATTGTTTTCGCTATTCTCCACGTGAACAGATTCGGAAGCGTTATGTACAATATCACTTCCATCGGCATCGAGAGATTCGCTTTCTTGAATATTTTGAGAATGAGTTTCCGCTGGTTCGATATCGCCCATGACTAGTTTCTCAATTTCTTTGGCAGTGTCGGCCACTTTTGGTACCGAATCTTCTGAATTGTCCGATTTGATCTCATTTTTGGAAATAGTAGACTTGTCCTCGTCTGGATTTTCTTCCAAACCCAATTTCTGGGACTCTGCGCTTAAGGGTGCTATTATTTCTTCGATTTTTGGTACTTCAAAGTTTTTACTTAATCCGAGTCCCTTCTCTGTAGCAAACATTTTACTTTCGATGGACTTGGCGATCGTGAGTTTGATATTTTCTATCATTTGATCTATTTGAGATTTTGGACTGCCATCCGATTTGTCTGTACTATAAAACGGACTTACCGTCTTCTTCATATCTATGTTTAAGCTACTCCTACGACTCTTGGACTTGTCTGCAAATTTTGCTAAAATATTATCTTTTCTAACTTGATCTAAATTGCTTACTTTCTTTATCTCTTCCTGTAACTCTGTATTCTTAGGTGCTATTCTTGTATAATCAACTTTGATATTGTCAGTTTTTATTTCGATTTCTGTACTTTTGGCTTTAGTTTTTGAGCGTAGAGTGGGTCCTACTTCGCTAGCCCTATCTACTCGATCACTGTTATTATTGTTTTCTGTTTCAGAACCATTTTGAGAACTATCCTCGCAATTTTTCAGAATATCCTTCTTCAAGCAAGCCTCATCTTTGGCTGTTACCATAACTATTTGAGGATCGTTACCGCTAGATTCGGAAAAACAAGATTCCGTGTCTATACTACTATCCGCGTTGTTATCTCCTGAAATTTCTGAACTAACAGGGTCATCCGAGTTTAACCTTCGACGTTTCTTAGGATCCAAGTCTGTGGAAATAACAGAATCCGACTGCCGCAACTTTCCATTTCGTAAACTTCTTTGACCAACCGACGTACTGGATCTCTTCCTCAACTGTATGATGCTTTGGAAGGATTCGGTTTCGAAGCTCTCACCATCGGATATAATTTTGGCGTCGTCAGTGTCTGGTTCTTTTTTAATTTCATCCAAAATTATGTTTTCTTCTACCAGCATTTTTCTACTTCTCCTGATTTTTCCTTCGGTTTTTTCCGTTATTCCTTGTTGGCTATCTATTTCCGAATCGCTCAACATCGAAGCTATAACTTCGTCTATGGTAAGATCTATAGAACTCTTTGCATCCAGAAGCGATTTCGAAAATTTTGTGTCAATCGTGGATGCCTTTGCGCTAGCGTAATCTATATCTTTGCTATTACTCTTTTTACCTTTCACACACTTGATATCCCCTTCCGTATTTTTGGTGAAGCTATCCTTCTCCTTGATATTGTTCCTTTTAAATCCCGATATCTTGGTCGATTTAACGCTTTTAGACAAAGAGTCCAGACTCTCGGAATTTTTCCCTTTTCTGTTCAATTTTGGACTGCTCTTGGTACTGGATCCAGCGATAGAGTCCGTGTCTTTGTCTTCGTTTTCTACTTCCCCGCTACTTTTTGTTACAAGCTTGGTTTTTTTGGTCCTGAGATTGTTCTTGGCACTTCTGTTATATATTTCCGTCCCTGTATTTTCGCTATCCGTATCGTTTACTCGTTGCTCTACAATTCTCGCGTTATTATCGGCCGTGTTTTCCTCTAATAACTTCACTTTTTTCGTTTTGACGCCCTTCTTGATGTCAGACGTTATTCTGCACAAATTTCTGTTGGCTACTTTCCTCGTAACCTTTGCTTTAATAAGATTAGCCTTCGCTACTCTCAACTTTTGTTTGCGCTTGAGGTTTCTGAGAACTTTCTTGCGTGGCAGGCTTGCCTCTAATTTCGGAGGAAGCTGACTGCCGGTTGCCACCGCCTCCAAAATATCACGTGCTAGTTGCTGTTGTTTAAGATTCGTCAAAGACTTGCCCTTTCTACTTTTGATTTCATTTGATGGCAAGCCAGATTCATTCGTCGCCTTCTGTTTTGCTTTGGAAGGCGCTAAGGGTTTCTTTTCCCTGGATGCCATCTCACTTCCACCCACATTGGGCTCCTGCAATTTCATTCGTTACATGAAATTGCAAGCCATTTACCAACCGAAGAGTATGCGCTACTACCATGGTAGCGTTCAAGATAATTTGTCAAGTTCCCTAGTAATGGAACAATACATATTTAGGAATTGAAAGAAGCAATGGTATCAAGTTTTATACGTATCGACTGAAAAACGATAGGTCTATGAAGATATTTATTATAAAAATCATGTACTATTACAATCTATTCAATTTAGAAGGGAATGCAAAGATAATATTGGAATATTCGTATAATCGAAGAAATAGTACCTTTCCTCTTAAAAGCGAGACAGGAACGAATTGACTCTGTACGCCGAGTGGAAAAACTACATAATTCGTCTTTGGATGCGAGTAGATGAGCGGCCGGCCGGAATAACAGGGTTGATAGATGCGGCCCTGGCGGTCAGAAAAATTACGTGACAAACTTTGCATTTACACGGATACACACGGAGTCCCTCTTCTCTCGGGCAGGGGAATTGCCACGAAATATTTACCACGATATCTCGTCGATCGTGCTGCGGATCGCGAACAATTCACGGCCGAAAGAAAGCCCGTGTCGCCCGTTAACTAACGAGACGAGAAATTCGGGGTTGAATGGGCGAGAAATATCGAAAATCACGCGACAAATCGTCGCGAAAAAATCGCCACGAATAAACAAAAGGTCGGACCCGATTCGAGATTTCGAAGGTTTAGTACGTGGTCGGGCGAGCGCTGTCGACGGGATTTCGCAGCTAGGCATTCGCTTCGTCGCGTATACTCACCTCTCGGCCGAAAAATCGCCGTCCAGAAGCGTGGCTTTTGCGAGAAAACTCCGAAAAATAATTCCGTGAAAAACACACAGAGTCCCGTTGCAGGGTGTCTGTCTCTCGTACGCTGTCCCACTGTTTTCAGGCTACTGCCACCTGACGGCGGAACACGCGACCTCTCCCAGGTCCATGGTCCGTTCGCGCTAATTTCGTTTCGCGTTATTTCACCCGACGATTCAACCCCATTCAACCCCTTCGAACACCACGGGAAACCACGTACAAGATACGTTCACCTTACGTACAATTCGTGCTCGCTCGCCACACGAAAATCATCCGCGATACTACCATCGAAACGCAACGATCCACCGTCAAAAATTCTCAGCAACGCGGCACTAGGAGCACTATACAGCGTTTGCGATAACTAAACCCAGGGCCGAATTAAGATGTAGGCTTTTCGGGCTACGTTTTAGGGTTCTCGAGAAATTTGTTAAAAATTTATTTTGTTCCCCAATATCGAATCAAAGTAGAGAAAATCTTATTTATGCACAATACTATATTTGTAGTAAACATTCTACAGCAGAAACAGAAATAATGTACTCGATGTCCTAATTAAGGTAGGAATTTTAAATCTAAATAGAAATACTCGAAATTATCAATTTAAAAAAAAAGCTCGAGTATTGATACATAGTAGCAAGCATACTAGGGGAAACAAATTGCTATACTCAGGGCTGACAAGACATAGGATTTAGGGGTTGCAGGGACCTCTACTAAGTTAAACTCTCTAAAAGTTTCGTTTGTCAATGCTGAATTAAAGTACTCTGAAAGATCAATTTAGAAATGAGTTCGATTAATAAACTACGTTTGTTTTCAGTAATAATACAATGGCAAATAGAGATGCTATATTTCGGACCGAATTAAAGCATCGACTTTAGGGGTTGTAATCAGTATTACCAACCAGCCGATTTCCGCCATGTATGAGCTGGGTTTTTTCGTTGAATTCTCGATTACCGATCGAACTCCACGAAAATCCGACTTTTATTCGAACGATACATTTTAAAAATAGAAAAAAATGATTCAATAAGATTATTAGACCGTAGAAGGTAAATAAATTGAGTTCTGATATTTGTTTGCGAATTTAATTTTTAAACGTTATTGAATATGACATGCTTAGACAATATTTTATCCATTATTCTTTGTACACATTACAAAAATAAATTTTTTAATTAAAAAAAAAAGCGAGTACAGATACAACAGAATAAGTTTAAAATCAAATTTGATGAAATTATTATTCTGATCAAGATAATTTACACTTTGCGTAAGAAACAAAACATATTTTCAAAATTAGGTATATAATAGAGGATTTAAATACTTGTACTTCTTTGTGCTCTGTACTTCAGTTTAAAGAACTGTATTTGTAACACGAATGGCTGTGCTGTATTAAATAAATTCTTAAATGTGAGTACAGCATTCTGAAAAGACAAGATAATTTGATAATTTTGTATATTAAAAAGAAAATAACAAGGTGTCTTTTCGACAACCAGAACAGACTATATTCAAAAGCGGAAAATTTCTTATATCGAAAAGAATAACAGATTCTGTATTCGACATTTCCATTAGTAATACATAAAAAGGGTTTTCATTTATAAATATAACAATGCAAGACAAGATAAATTGGTTAATACTGGCAGGTGTTAAACCAGAGTTATCAATTTGTCGTTACGTCAGGTATAATTTTCAAGCATTTCAAGCAAGACTAATAAATATCGATGGATTTGTTGCTGTAGATTAAAGCGATACATAATTTCAAGAGGACTATATAAATGTTTGTATTTACAATAAATTACAACTTTTTCTTTTTTCGACGGAATTTTGGTAAAAAACTGACTGACACACTGACTATAGTCTTGGATGCCTCCAGAAAATTAAGTAAGAAAATTTGAAAATCATTGCCTGAAGACAATTTAATGAAATTAATTAATTAAAACGATTACTTGAAATTGTCTATTTTACGAAAGAACTCGATTAATTCGATTACAGTATGTACATATTTGCAGTAAACATATTGCGGCAAAAAGAAATACTGTCTCGTATCACAGTCCTGTAGCCCGGGGTGCGCGAGATCTTAATCCGACACTGGCTGTATTATATACATACATATATATATATATATATATTCGTGATACATATGTATACGTATATATGCATACTCACAGTGTTGTAGCCCAGGGGTCTACAAAATCTTAATCCGGCGCTGACTGAACCCCGTTGGTTATTTGGTCGAATTTTATGTTACTCACGGTCGCTCGGTGACGCGTTCGCCTATCGGGCGGACGAGCGAGCGCGACCAAGTTTCTCGCGAGACGGTAAAAATGCTGGAATTACAGGCCCGTCGCGCGAAAAGGCTCGATCTGGTACGAGAACGAAAAGGAAGACGCGCCCGTGCGCACCAATGGCGGCCACCGACCCTTATTTATCCAAGTCAAAATGGCCGCCCTTCGACTCTTCATGCGCTCGAAACTTTCGGCGATTATTCTTCGTTCCACTGCTCAATTTCAACTAAACAACGTCTCGCCGATCGTCTGTCAGGTAATGTCACGCGTTCTCATGCTTTCCACCTTTTTTCTCGTTTTTATAATCTGTCGTCAGACGATGTCGACGAATTCTCTCACGTTATCGTTATGATGGGTTACCTTAACGTGCACTAACAAAGGGACAAGTTTTCGCCAAGTATTTACGTTGTTAGCTTTTTATTTTCATTTAATGGTAAAGTTTTCCTCGATCTTTAAGCGAATAGATCGATGAGGATACATGGGAGGGACCTTGAAAAATGTACCGTTAAACTTTAAAAAGCAGAGCAACACGAAACGCACGCTATATTATTCTAGTGCACGACAGCGATTCTTAACCTTTTCAAACTCGCTGCACGGATTGATTGGAGATTCTTTATTTTTTCAAGTTTATGCCAATGGTTGGAGAAAATTTGAAAATCATTGCCTGAAGACAATTTATCGAAATACAACCTAAACAAAGTGTTATGAAGTGTTTGATTAAAAATCATTCATACATTTGTATGTTTTATTAGATCGACAAAAGATGGGGAAGTTACAAATCTTCCCCTGTGTACAATGAAACTGAACAATATCCAGATTATGAGATATCGAATGATCCTCGAGAATGGGAATACGTGACACGATTACTTCCACCCACGGTTGTGCCTGTGCCTCCTCTCGAGGAGAAAGTATTACCCTCCGGATGGAAGCCACCTACTGGTAAGTTATGCTTGATATTTTGAAACTTTGAATGATTTGTTTGTAAGCAACTAATTAATTTCATTTAATTAACAGTAAAACCAGGGACTTACCCATACCACATACAGCGTTCAAAAAATTACATGCAATCGGTCTATCTTTCCATTACGTTTAGAGGAATGCGAAGACAAACCATTATTCGTAGGATTGAAGGAGATATTTGGCAGTTAGAATCCGAATTAAGAGATTATTTGACCAAAGAAACAGGCAGATTGTTGGGTGTCCGTATAAACGAACTCGTAGGCGAGATTCGATTTAGGGGAGATTTTGTGTCCCTTGTCAAAAGATGGATGGACTCCAAGGGATTTTAAAAGCTTTAACGACATCTGCGTGATCTCGTACTCGAGCGATCGATGTAAATATAAGAAGATATAATTTGTTATGGTAACTATTATTTGTTATAAAAAATAAAATGGTATAAAAATATGTAATTTATGTCTCTAAATTTTGAGCTTTTAATACTCGTCCTCGAGATAATATTTAAGTGGTAATACGGAATTTTAGAAGCGTACAAACTTTATTTTAATAATTAAAAATTCAACAGTTTTATTTTTGTAAAAATATGCATTATATTTAAAATTAAACTTCACACAAGCTGGCATGGAGAATGAATCGTATAATATGTGTAGCAGTTGACTTAAATATAGGCGTAACGCTGCGTTCGTAATTTTATGTCTTCATGTCTTAATGTTTAATTATAAATTACGACACATGTTTTTTTTTTATTAAACAATCGGTAACAAACGAATAAAGTAATCTTATTTCTTACGTCTATCGAATTATTTGTATTTCTATATAGTTATGACAGTTTAAACAATGTATAAATTAAATAATTTAACACATGTACGCGAAATAGGAATTTCTAGGAGTACGAATATGAAATTAAATATCACATCATTTATTCTATTAAAAAGGAAATTTTGTCTCTTATTTATACTGCGTTACTCGAACAGTATTAAAATAAATTCGAAAATACCACATTTCGCGAACTATACACACATATGCAAACGTGCGATAAAACTAGATTTGGAACGGCATTTCAAACGTGACAAGGTAAAAAGCATCGAGTTATACAACAGATATATCGACAAACAGGAACAATTGAAGAAAAAAAATTAAATAAATGAGAATAAGCTATGAAATACAGGATTCTAAAGGTTTTTGTGTAAAGTTCGATGATATTTAATCGTTTTTTTTATGTTTATTTCATGCGAACAAAATGTTCTGTTTAATAGTAAGCATATGGCAAAATTTTACTTGAAAATTTTTCCCTGATTAAATTTTCGTCCCTCTTTATCGGTACAAGTCCAGCTGAAATACTGTTGAACCAACTGTTTTGTTTCTTTTTTAGAGGGGTCTAACTTGGTCCAACTATACGATTCGTAATCTACTTGCCAATCCGGACACAGCTACGCAAATAAGTACGATCGTTAAATTTCATATTGTCGATTATACAAATGTAAAGAAATACAAGAAGAAACTAACCGTAAAAGCAAGTTCTTGTCCACGCCAAACCCAAATACCACTGATACTGCTATCGTTGTCTGTACCAAATAGACAAGCGCTGGCAAATGCACCCTTCCGCATTTTGTCTAGTCGTTGATACATACCACTTATTAGATTGCAAGACATAAAGACCTGTTAGAAAAAAAAAAAAAAAAAATGTTAAATAAAAATTTATACGTGAACTTGTAAAAATCTCATTTGGGTATATTGTTTTACCTTCGTTAAATCGCTGTTGTACTTGTATTCACCAAGCCAAATACTGTAATGTTCTGGATCAAACTTTGACCAGAAATAAGGTATAGACTTCGACTCATCTTCGTTAGAATAAAATCTCTTAAAATCATCGAGATCGAAGGTACCCTTTGGTAAGGTATCAAAAGGATTTGTAGATTTAGGTTCCGCAGCTAGAGCAGCATCTGCTGGATCTAGTTCTTCCACTGGCTCTTTCTTTGATTCTTTTGATTCCTTAGATTCCTTCTTGGGTTCTTTTTCTTTTTTTTCCTTCTTTGAAGGCTAAAATAATAAATATAATTACTATCGTATAAAACAAAGTTAGGTGAACAAAAAGGACTTCAAAACAACAGAATAACACTAACTTTTGCTTGAGCTTCTGTGAACTTCTTTGGATCATACTTAAGAGTTTTTTCAGCCAATTTGAAGGCACCGATTACAGCTATTGACTCGGGTTGGTAAATAACAGTTTGGAACCATCGATTTACGTTCTGGTACGGTTTACGTAGATTCGGTTCAAGTATGTACTGGTACAAATGGAGTAATGTCATGGCGACGCTAATATCGGCTAAAGTCAGTCGTTCTCCGACCAAGTAAGTACGCGTAAGCAAGTGAGAATTAAGAGCGGTCAATACTTTCTTTACGTCATCCTTAGCGTGTTCCACGGTCTGAAATTAATATCGTAATAAAGAAAATTGTACCAAAATAATCTTTACAAATCTAAATTTAAAAATGTACGCATATTATTAGATATGTAACGCAAAATTCGTACATATCGTATAATATGCTAACATTGCTATACCTCGTAGAGTTACAAAATTAGTCATGGTATTAGACTACTTTTGCCTTTGAAGGAGGATTTACAGATATAAACATAACATGGTAAACTTTCATCCATACCTGCTTATTATATGGCATAATACCCAGTAATGGGAACACCCATGCACAGCTAGCTGGAAGAATTTCAGAATCCGCGAATCCGAACCATTGTATGATTTCTGCGCGTTCCAGGTCAGTTTTACCTCTCAACTGATCGTTAGCCACTAAAAAAGGGAGCGATTTGTATTATGCACACACAACTCTATTCTGCTATTCGTGCGACGTATCAATCATAAATTTTACCGTAATATGCAATCGCGTTGCTTTCTGTGATACATTTTCCGTCGCATGTTTCAAATGCTGGGACCTAAATACAAAATTCAGAAATCAGCGATATTTTTTTCACGCTTATGCCACATTTGACTTATTTATATTGTATTCTCCAGAGGAAGCTCTAGAATGAATTACTAAGCAAATATTACTCGTTGTTGCTCACATTCCTCATATTGAAAATATCACATTAATCATAAACTATGCCTGATATTTTTATCTCCTTACGATACATTGTATTTATAGAATTTGACTTATATAGAAAGTTTCAGAATTAATTAATCGTGTAGAGAATTTTTACAATGTAACAACTTGTTAAAATCATAGATGAAGATGCCAGCTGGTTTACCATTAACTAAGCAATACCAAGGATACAACTTGGATCTGATCCTCTTTTACCTAGAAATGCATCTTATAGGTACAATTCGAATAGCTTCAAAACGAATAAACTTCTCGAGTCGAAAATTTACTGTACTGTCTTGCGAAAATCATGAGACACCAGCTGGTTTCCAAATAACATATAACACGCAACGAAATGAAGGAAACATGCTGCATTGCACGACGTACCTTTCCCAATGGAAACTTCTTCAAGAAAGTTTCGGATTTATTCGTTTCGCCGAAAACAAAATCATCTGCGATCTTGACCTGAGCACCGGAGTATTGAGCCGCGATCAGCACCTTGTAGGCTCTGAAGTTTTCCAGGTAGGTGTACAGAGTCTGAAATAAATCGTGGCTCGATTAGCTGGTTACTGGATTAATTCGTATTTCTAACGGAATGTGTGTCCACGTTGGTTCGTCATTACGTCGATGGTTAGCGGTGCGAATCGCACGAGAGAGACTTACTCCGGACGCCATTATAGCCAGTTACGGAAAGAGGAAGTCGAAGGCCGGTAAAGATCGTTTCTCTTGAGTGCATAAAGTCTCCACACTAATAGATACGTCCCTACAATGTACCCGTAACTTGCAATCCCCACAAAATATATTCAACTTTTCCAACCGAACTTGGACCGTCCAACACTGCAAACTTCGCGAATCGAGACGATATCATGCAAAGACTCTTGATTAAACCAGATTTTAGAACTTGGAGAAACATGTAACGTATCTATCGTGTGTATCGCTATTAATAAAATGGAACGTTCTGATTGGTCTATGTAGTTTCGACCTATTCTTATTTTTGCAAGGTTCACAGAAACATTTTATATCTTTTTACCAACTATTTATAACCATTTTATAAATTTTTAGGAATTTATAAACCATTTACAATATTTAATATAACGATATATCTTTTATGAAATAAGATATTTTTACATTTACATGAATCAAATTTTAATACTCTATTCCAACAATATTGTTTAAAGATTCTAAATCTTTTCGATGTTCTTTTTAAGAAAAGTATTCAAATTTTGTTGTGAAAGTTTATACTTTTCACGTTAACACTATTTTTCCAGTTCATACGCGTCGATAATGCATAGACTACGTGAAGTGCATGATCATGGTTTGTATCCAATATCCAAAAATGGCAACGTTAAAGGATGTTGTTTCTTTGTATAAAAATTTGAAGCAAGAATGGACAGCAACTCCATGTAATTTAAAAAAATGTGGCGAATTGCTTAATCAATTAAAGGTGACGTATCGAATATATATGTTGCATATTTCTGTTATTATAGATGTTTTTGTGTTGATAAACTTGTCGAGATATAACCTAGTTCGCTGTCTGTGAAAGTGAAATGTCATCGTGTTTAGAATTCAATGTTTATCGATATTTAACGTTTATCGCGTGATCGATATTAAATGTTTTATTTACATAACATTTTTAATGCTATATTTACGTTAATAATTTGATCTAACAATCAATTTTTACAGGTCGGCCTCACACATTTGATGTTTCTTCCAACATCTAACAGCGCTGCCAGTCAAAATGAATTGCTCATAGCTCGTACGTATAAACACGTACGAACGTAGATAATATTTGATCATTATTTATCAATTATATTATAATTGCAGGTGATATTCTAGAAATTGGTGCACAATGGAGTATAGTAACGGAGGATATACCTTCTTTCGAACGTTACATGGCGCAATTGAAGTGTTACTATTTCGATTATAAATCAGGATTAACGGAGTCCGCGTACAAATATCATCTACTCGGCTTGAATCTCTTATTTTTGTTATCTCAAAATCGCGTCGCCGAATTTCACACGGAGCTAGAACTTCTACCATCCGATCAAATACAGTCAAACGTTTACATCAGGCACCCTCTAAGTTTAGAACAGTATTTAATGGAAGGATCGTATAATAAAATATTTTTAGCATCGGGTAATATACCAGCGGCGTCGTATAGTTTTTTCATAGATATTTTATTAAACACTGTTCGCGATGAAATCGGGGCGTGTATGGAAAGCGCATACGATAAAATTTCTATTCAGGATGCGTCGAGAATGCTTAATCTAAATTCAGAGAAAGATATGAAAGCGTTTGCGACAAAAAAGAACTGGACTTTGGCAAAGGATGGTTACTTTTACTTCAGTACAACGAGCGAAAAGAAAACCGAAGAACCTATACCCAGCTCGGATTTGGCTACGCTAGCGATCGATTATGCGAGAGAACTCGAAATGATCGTTTAACAAGCATACGCAGCTTCCTGTACTTTATATAAAGATTGTCGTACACTTATCGGAACTGGTTTTTCGCATTTTTGATAAGTTCCGTGAGAAAATTTTACCGAAAACATCAGCATTCGAGTCTATTATTTTCTAATATTGTTACAAAATGAAGTATGTAAATGAATAAAAATAAATACAAAAAGCAAAAAATATAGAAATTCATCGTCGACGCGTTATTTTATTCATAGATAAAATAAAATTTATAGTCCCCTCGATTATAAAGGAAAAACTTATACTTCAGTTTAATGACATTGGTGTATGTTCTCGCAAATATCAATATTAAACATATTTTGGCTCAGAATTTAAGAGAATATGTACTGAAGTAAAATTTGTTTATACTATTGCCATTGTTTACAACAAAAATGTTAATAAAGAATTTCAGAAAAGGCCGACACATGAAAATGGTTCTTTAATTACTTCCGAAGTAAAGAGGAGTTTACAACTGTCCGTCTTTGCCTCTCTTTGTTTTTATCGCGAATGATAGACAAAGATGGAATTATTTCTTTTAACACGTTGAACTATCAACAGTCTGTCATCATCTGTCATTCGTCAAACTGCAAAACTTAACCATATTCTATCTTTCAAAAGCTTTCCAAAGATTTCCTCGTTACTTAGTTTATTTGTAGGTTATATAATCATTTTCGAATTGGTAAGAAGAAACAAGTTGTCAAAATGCTCCGCAATTATGAGGGCGTTAGATTTCTCCCGGACAAACAAATGGTGATTTTTGACATCGGAAGGGCGTATACAAAGTATGAGTGCATTTATGTTAACGCGAGAAATTTAACATTGTTAATAAATTCATATGTGATTTGTAAATAGATTTGGTTATGCGGGCGAGACTACACCGCGCGGTATTATAAGGACGGAGGTCGTATGTCCAGAGACCAAAGAGCTACGAAAAATCTATGATTACAAAGATACAGAAGATTTGTATCAGTTGCTCGTTGAGTTTCTTCAATCTTTATTTTTCAGGTAACAATTTTTTGGACTATATGTATTGTCTCTGTTTCGGGTTGCATATTTATTTTATATATATATATATACATATGTTTTATTTTAGACACACTCTGATGAGTCCAAAGGATGCTAGAGTCGTGGTCTTGGAATCGCCGCTAACTCCGTCAGAATTTAGGGATACGCTAGCCAAATTGTTGTTTCGACATTTTGAAATCAGATCTCTAATGTTATTATCTGTTCATTTAGCGACAATTAGTACATTGGGTACCAGCACTGCTTTAGTTTTAGATGTCGGATATACGGAAGCTACGTTGATTCCAATTTACGAAGGTGTACCAATTTTAAAAGCATGGCAGGCTCTTCCTTTGGGTGGTAAAATTGTGCACGAGTAAGTTATACGCGTTACGATAAATGTTCGAGCGTTATCGCGACGATATTTATATAATACTTGGGTTTTTTTCTGCTGCAGATATTTGATGAAGTCTTTAAAAGAAGTTGCTCCTAACGCGGATATAACGGAAAAACTTGCGGAAGATATAAAAGTGAGAACATGTTTTGTCACGACATTGGAAAGATCTGCTAAATTAGGAACGGCGAATGCTCCTGCTCCTCCTCCCTCGGTCGTGTATCCTGGAGTAAAAAATATTACTATACCTGGTGAAATTAGAGAAAACGCATTTGAAGCGTTATGGGAAAGAGACAGAGATAATCTTAGTATACCTACGATGATTCTGGATGCTATAATTAAGGTATAATCTAGTTAAATACAAGTATCGATTATTCTAATGGTTAGTTTTAGTAACGATCTCAAATTCTCGTTACAGTGTCCGATAGATACTAGACGTACTTTAGCTGAAAATATAATGTTAATCGGTGGAACGACAATGACAAAAGGTTTTGCTAGTCGTCTTAAATCCGAACTTTTGACTTTAGTAAACAGTAATTATTATGCCGATAAATTAAAAATTAAGACGTTCAAGTTTCATACCGCACCCAGTAAGCCAAATTACACGGCCTGGTTAGGAGGTGCTATTTTCGGAACTATAGATTTACCATCGAGATGTGTAACAAAAGAAAATTATCTAAAATCTAACAGAGTCCCCGATTGGACTAATTTAATAGATAACCAGAGAGACGATCCGTAATTTGCGAAATGTAAAACATTGCCTAATTAAACAAATTAATACAATTTTTATAATGGAAGTAATCTTTGAATTGTTGTATTTATATGTATATACAGAAGAGTACGAATAATTTTATTTCTTACGTTTGTATTTAAAGATCTTAAATTTTGGAAGCATAAGTTTAATTAATGTAAATTAATACACGAATAGGAAATAAAAACCTGCGCGTTGCGTTGAAAATTCAAAACGTTTTTTATTCATAGAAACTGTATCATAGAATTTGTCAATTTATATTACAGATTTTTAATTAAAAGATTTGTATTATAAAGTCGTCAGTAGGGTAAGCTTCTCGTTGAGCTGAAGTTGAGTCTTTATCAACTGCGAAAGCGCGACGACCATCAGTAAATCTTTCACGTTACTGTTAAACATTTCGTCGAATTGTTCGCTCGACATTTTGGGAACGGAATGTACCATATCCAAAAGAGCACGACCCACCTATGATATTAAAACGAATTACGTTTATACTGATACTATAATAGAAAAACTTTAGACAATATAAAATTGAGCTAACTTGATTGTCGGGTGGTTGTTTCGAATTTAACACGTCGTCGACGTATGCGAGCACTTGTTCCAACATGGAAGAAAGTTTGGCGCTGGCTTCCGCTATTTGCGCGAGATCCATCATCGGTTCTATACCGCCGCCTGTTTTTACCCCAGTTATTTGAGCATGCGCCGGTAACTGAGTCTTGGAACAAAGCTGCAATCCGACAACTTCTGGCTCGTAAGATGTGACCTGATAAAATACACAAATCATTGTAAGCTATACTTTGTGTAAAATTATATTGTAGAAAGATTGTGGGATAACATACCTGTACTTTGACCGGGGTGAACATGGAACCTTGCTTCCCATTAGGAACTCCCAATGACACACATACGTAAGCTTTAATTGCCATTCTAGTAGTATTCAGTAAAGTCGTATCGACGGTCAAATGAACAGGATTATTGCATTCGCGAACATAATATTCATGAATGACGGAAGAATGAGTGGTAACCTGTAAGATTCGTATAAATAAAAAATTACAGTTGATATTTTAAGTATTTTACGGTTGGAAGGTATGCAAAACAATTCACTTCGTTTCCAGTTGCCCACCATCCAACAATATTTTCTTGCGCGTTCACTCTGTGATTTAACTCGTACAAATCAATTCCGTACGTCAAATCGGCTTCCACTTGACTTTCAGACTCCTTATGTGGCACGCAAAAACAATTTGTCACTTCGACCATTCCTTTTTCTACGGTACCTGCAAACAATAATTTGTAGCGTATCTTCGATCGAATATCCAGTTGTTACTGTCAAAGTACTCGATGTAACCATTTTTTAATTTAATTCCTATCGTTTTAAAATATACGTTTATCGTATATTTTAAAATTACCTAATAGCGTGCCGATAACGCGATGTGACTCGGCTTTTCGACGTTCGTAAGCATCGACAATTTGGAAAAGAACAACAGGATGAACCTTAACGGTGAGGTTAAGCGCCATGTTTCACGAAACTCTGTACTTGTCTACTTCTACTTGTTCGCAAAGTAGGAAAAGAAATTGCGCTAACCACGTTATTTTTCCACCATGAATTAATAATACGATAGAGAGGAACGCCTGACGCAATTTTCAATTCGATCGTCTAGTAACCTAGATACTTGTCTTCCTAGTAACTTCTAACCCCTCTACGAAAGATACAGACTATTTTTTATTGTATGTAATATTTAAATTAATTTTCTTTCATAAACGAGACAAATGAGGCTATATTCTCAATTTTTAAAAAATGTTAAAACTCCTTTTAAAAGGGCTAAAAAGAAAGGTATCTAAATTCTGTATACTAGAGCAATACAAAGCTAGCCAATCAGTCTTATGGACAATCTTTTTATCAGTGACATTAATGCCCTCTATTTCCCTATAGAACGGACTATACCCGAGGTATCGATCGATTTTCGAGAATTATGATCTTGCGACTGGTCATAATGTTGTTCGATGTGTGGTGTATTTGTATATCGGTGTGCATGTCGATCAAATATTGAATGCAATCAAGAATCAGTAGTTTAATAAGATTTACTCGATCGAAAAATCAACGTTTTTTGGATTACATTTTTGTACAAATTTTCGTTATACACAGTGTAAATTTTCGCTCGCCTGGTTTGTTTGACAAGTGATATTCTTTATCGAAACAATTTTCGCAAGGTGCGAAGTCCGTTAAGAACTGCTTTCACGAGGGTGCAATGAACGATCACGGGTATGTTTTTAAAAGTATTGACAACAATGTCATCTGTAGCTACAGTGAATATCATCGCGCTTCTGTTCTTATGGTCTTCAACGTACTTTTCTAACGCTGAGAAACAATAAACTGTAATATTATCAAAGATGAGTACGATCGCGCGTTTTTGCGTCTTATTTTGCACAGATTTGAAATTGCGTGTATGGATGAGTTTTAGGATATTAAGGTACCCACGCTCGGTCAATGTATTGAATACAATAACAATACAAGGGTGATATCGAGGATTTGTGTATTATGCGAAATAATCAAAAAGTATTTGACTTTATTAAAGCCATGTCGGTCATTATTGCACAATATGGCCTCAGTCCCTATGTTCTTTTCCTTGTTCATAGAAAACCTAGAAAAAAAGTTGAAAATACTGCCTCAAAGCTGCAGAAACGAATATATTTGATTTATTTTCATGTAATATCGTATTTCAGGTGGTATTAAGAATTAAACCTAAACAGGAATCATCTAAACACTCAACATGTTTGGGCAAGCAGGAAATGCATCATTCAGTAAGCATTCACAATTATTTCATATTCTTCTTCATGTATAGTTCTGTACTTATACTTAATAATTATATATCATTTCAGCTGGTTTTAATAATGCAACGCAAACCAGCCCCTTTGGGCAGTCGGCGTTTGGTAAACCAATAGCTACCACGAGCTTTGGGAGTGCCGCGACACCAGTATTTGGTAGTAGTAACACTTCTCTCTTTAGTTCAAAGCCAGCAGGTTCTACTACGGGTGGCTTGTTCGGCAACACTACAACACCACCTGCATTCACTCAGCCATCTTTTGGAGGTAGCTATTCACTATTTTGTTGAATCAAAATTTGTAGGAACTTTGAAATATTTTCTTTTACTTTTTTCCACAGGTTTTGGGACAACCAATACAAATACTAATCTATTTGGTAGCCCTCAACAAAATCCAAGCACAAGTTTATTTGGCACAAATGCGACAACTTCGGCGTTCGGACAGTCGAATAAGTCAGCTGGATTTAGCTTTGGTACAACAACTGGAGCAAATTTATTTGGACAACCCCAACAGCCGACTCAACAAACCACTCCTTTCGGACAAACAAATACCACTGCAAATACAAATTTGTTTAGCACTGCACCTGGTAAATATACTTCTTCGAGATGTCGCGTAGTATCCGCCTTCATCGTTTCTTTTTTTTTTGTTTGCATAAGGTTTTGGCAATACAAATACCGCCACCACAAGCGTTATCGGCACCGTCGTTAAATTTACTCCCGTCATTACTACCGACTCTATGTCAAAAAATGGTATATCTCACAGTATATCGGCGAGGCACTGTTGTATCGCATCAATGAAAGAGTACGAATCAAAATCATACGAGGAATTACGGTTCGAGGATTATTCTGTGGGACGAAAAGGTAATTTTATAGGTGATTGCAAATATAGATTAATCATAGACAGCATTCTACAATGTTTACTTACTTATTATTATTTTTTTCTGTTCGCTCAGGACCCAGTACAGGAATTTTTGGCACAGCTGCACAATCTTCGCCATTTGGTAATACAGGGGCAGGTACTAGTACTGCGATAACGGGTAAACTAACACAAATTAGTTATTATACATTTATGAGATTATTCATGATCCTTACTCGTAAATATCATTACTGATATTTACTCGTGATCCTTTTTTCTTTTGTAACGCTTTAATCTTACATTAGGTTTCGGTGGAATGAGCGGCGGTTTTGGAACGACCACTCAAAGTGGATCAAGCGGTCCGTTTGGAAAGCAAATGACAAGCTTTGGGACACCTTCGACGACAACTACAAACAGTTTCGCTTTTAATTCTACTCCAAGCACAAATTTGTTTGGTACTAATACACAGGCCAAACCTTTCGGTAGTAAGTAATAAAAGGAAACTCGTGTTTTTTTAATCGATCAAATAAGAATGTTCCGTTAAGAAATATTTTTGTCTGCAGCAGCAGCACCGACGCCACTCTTTCCAACCAGTAATACTAATCAAACGGCGGGTACAAGTTTTGGTAGTATCAATCCTGCTCAAAACACTGGTTTTGGATCCACGTTTGGGTCGACACAACCAAATCAGGTAAAAAGGAACGAGAAAATCGCAGACGATACGCCAGTGTAGTCTCTTATTATCGAACGTACGCTAAATGTTAAGGGTGTTACTTGTTTCTTTACAGAATATTGGTTTATTTAATCAGAACAAATCGGCATTCAATGTTCCGCCTACGTCGTCCAGTACTAGTTTCACCAGCTTTGGCCAAGCACCCGCCAGCAATACAGGCGCAACTTTGTTTGGTGCTAAGTCTACCGGAACTGCAGGTTTTGGAACAGCACCCACTTTCGGTTCGACTACAACATCGACTTTTGGAACTACAACAGGTTTCACTCCTGGTCAAAACTCCGGTACTTCATTGTTTAATACATGTTTTAAACCTGCAGGACAGACGTCTGGATTCTCTTTTGGTTCTAATGCTGCGCCTTCTACTGGACTGGGTAAATTGTTTATATACTAAATCGTTTTCTAACAATCAAATAGCTATGTTATCTATTTTTTATTACTTTACAGAAAGTTCTTAACACTTGAAACTAATAAAAAAGTTAAATCATCACGTGTTACAACGATCTTTGACATCGATGTTGAAAGTCTGCGATTATCTTACAGGTACAAATACTGGCTTGACATTGGGTAGCGGTTCTACCCTGTTTGGCCAGCAAAAACCAGGTGGTTTATTCGGTGCTCCTGGAACCAACACAACGTTCAATACA